CTGATTGCCCCTGAGCATCATTTCTGATGCCGGCCCATAATGAGTTCTTGTAAATTGACTGACTCCCCCGGATCCATTCAGTTAAAACATTTGAGGACCTGGCTCTCACAACACATATTTTTGAATGCTTTGCTCCATAATAACTGAAGGATTGTGCATTCATAACTTTAAGAGAGACATGTGTAAAGATGATAAGTAGCCATATTCTGTGGCTCTGGTGATTGTGGGGCATCACGTGAACCAAGAGGTTATGAGTTTGGTCCTAGGCCTCTGAGGCTTCTAACAGGAATGCTGTGGTCTAGAGAAATTTATTTTGGCAACCAAAATCTAGGACAATAAGAAGTCCTTCTTTAGGTATATAGGGAACAGGAGAAAGAACAAGGGAAACGTGGGGCCCTTGCAGAATGGGAAAGGACAGCTGATAACAGACAGTCAGGGGAAAGCTGAACTCTTTAATGAATGCTTTGTGTTCGTGTTCCTGCATGCAAATGGTGGTCACCCACCTGGTCAGAAACTGGACACTGTCAGCAGGGCTGAAGCCCCCCCTGGCAGGGCTACCATCATCGGTGGCTTCTGCAGGTGCCCCTCCAGATTCAGGAGGCACCAGTCACTCATGGTGATTGCCAACCAGTGGTCAGTGTTGAACTAGTAAGGGAACACTTATAGCAGCTGAATGTCTTCAAGTCAGCAGGAACAGATGGACTATAGTATAGCCAAGAGTGCTGAGGGAATTGGATGGAGTCATTGTGGGACTATTGGTGAAGGTATCTGAAGACTCCTGGTCCCCAGGAGAGGTCCTGGTGTAGCAGAAAGCCCCCTTTTCCTCTTGCCTGCATTTGCTTTCCCCTTTTTGGATAAGTTTCTCCTCTTCTACCTTTTCTTCCTTCCTCTTTCTTTCACTATAAGATAAGGAATTGTGTTTTAAGTTTGTATGTGTGCATTTTGTATCTCATCTCCCCTTTGTATTTTGGTATTTTTATCTATTTGTGTGCCATAGCATTACTCTTGTAGCTTATATTTTATACTCTTCACCTTTTACGAAATGTGTTTTAGTTTTGGAAGCAAGTTATACACAGCAACAATGTTAAAAAGGGCAGGAATCAAACCTCCGCCTCCCTGCATCAGGCGGGCTCCTGAAAGAGCGAGTGAATCAGTGATTGAATGGGTAACACAGTAGCAGGCTTCAGTAACAAGCGGCAATTAACACCTACGGAAACCACAGATCAACCAACTGAAGAAGTCTACAGGAGACAATGTAGCAACCGGGAATCTCTAAACTTCACTGTTCAAGGGCTAGAAGCCCTGGTCAGAGTTAATCAACGCGGGGACCAGCTTCTGGGGCTGAATATCTCCAAGACCGACCGCTCCCAGAGACCTATTCACGACAGTGGTAAATTAATCAAAATTCACCAGACTCCCAAGCCTGCACATACATGTGGACGACCCTTGGGGCTGACAGATGCCAGCCAGTAGCCACCAAGGGGGAAGTCCCCACGAGGGTCAACGACCCCTGGATTGAGCAAACCTGAAAACTGGCAAGTCACCAAAGTCTGCAAAGGACAGATAAAGAGCAGTGAAAAGTGACCCTCAGCAGCGTCCTCTTGATCTCCAACTTGACCAGCACCCGACCTGTCCAGCCAGAAGAACCAGTCAGCAACCCCCTTCTGGAGGAAGACACCACGCTGGAAGAAGCTGGACTGGCCATCGACGGCAGACTTCACCGCTTGTGGGATAAGTATACCCGACTCTGGTGCTCCCCCCACCCCGCAACATTTGTAGCTTGCTACTCTGTGTGTGTGCGGACCAGCCCCCAGGTTTATGAGCTGACTTCATTACAGTGCTTCAAGCCGCCTAATAGACCAGAATTTTAAGGATCCCGAGCTGGACATTTGTAGCCAACATTATTTGGTGGAGGCCACATGCTAGGATTATTAGCAGATGGTAATTGGGGAGACCGTGTTTCCAGATAGAACCCATGTCCACGGAGGTGGGTGGGCAATAGTCACCCAAGGGGGTGGACTAGGATTTAGACTCACCCAACGGGCTGGGCAGACTCAAGGAGGGTCTGGATTTCGTTGTCACCTAAGGGGTGGGCATATCCTAAGGAAGGGAGTTGGCTGTAGAACTGCAGGAGCAGGGGCAGAGTTGGCTGGGACCACAAGGGCTCAAGGAAACAGAGGCTTGAGGCATGTTGAGGAAAATGTCTTTGTTTAGGGAAAAAACCCTAAAGTTGGAGCAGGAGGCCAAGAGGATAAGTGGGTATGGAGGGAGGAAATTTCCCCTCTCCATAGGGAGATTCTGAAGGGTGGACCCAGCCCATGGAGGGAGGATGTGTGCACCTCAGGCTTTTCCATAGGGGACACAGAAGCCCAATTTGAAAGATTTTGCCTTTGTGAAAAACCCACAGTTCAAAGGCAGCCTAGTGCCTTGGTCTGACTACTACAGCATGCTGTAAAAACAGCAGTTGAGGAAGAAGCTCAGCAAGCCTCTGAAATTGAGGAAAAGGAGGAGCTAATCCAAATTCTAAAAGATAGATGTGTCCAATTGGAAACCAGTAATCAGACTCTAAAGGGGTTGTCTCCGAACTTCAAACATGAGAATGAGCAATTGAGAAAAATAAATCAAGACAATGCCTGACAATTGGAAATATTGGACCAAGAAAAGGCTAGCTGAGAAGCCTTGCAAAAATTGGTAAAGACAATGGCTAAAGACCAAACTGAGAAGGGAGCCAAGGTCTGCCATGGCCCCTGTCTAAATACCATTAACCATTTGAAAAAGGAACTCCAGGAGTGCAGCCTGCAAGTAGCAGCTGTCATCTGGGGAGACCAAGCTGGGGATCCAGACATCCCCTTCAATCCGGGAGAGATTTGAGATCCAGAGGATGCAGGAGATCCTTCTCCTGAAGACCCTAAGTCAGATCAGGAGAGGACCCTGGTGCCTGAGGTGAGCACAATCACACAGACCTCAGTCACTCAGGATGCTCAGGGAAAACCCATGGATACCACACAGGTAACGGTCCCCCTCGGTGGAGCTGATCAAGCAGCCCTGGTCAAGACCCTGGGATCTGCTAACAATAGGGATTTGGGATGGTGGTTGCAGAAATCCCTCCATGTAGTGGAGTGTGAAACCCTGAGTGTCTGGGAATGGCACCGCCTACTAGGTGCTTGTACCACCCCAGAGATCCAGGCAGCTATGAATCAGGAGGACTGCTTTGGGGGAAGACAATATTCCCCAGAGCATAGTGGTTTTGGGGCTAGCCCCCAGACACCTGGGGAACCTGTTAGGCACTATGTGATCCAGTGTGTTATGTTGGAATTGCTGTCAGAGACGTTCTGCCCCTAGACAAGGAGAACAAATGGACATCGGACATAAGAAGTATAGATTACCCTCCTGGGTTTTGGAAGGAGGTACAGGAAGGCATGCATCAGTCCATAATTGAACTGATGGGGCCACTTGGAGAAACTGGGAGATATGTGCTGGGAGAAGTCCTAGCCCAGGCTCAGGATGCAGAGAGGTTAATTGGACGTCAAGGGGTGGGCAATTGCAGCCACCCAGTTCAGAGAAAAGCATAATGACACACCGAATTATATGGTTACTTATTCTAATGAAAGTGCATACCCCAAAACTGATAGGGGGATTGGGGCAAGCAAGACCTACCCGCAACAAACCCATGCTGGCTATCCCTTAGGATGTTGGCGTCGGCCAGTCCATTAAGGATGGTCTCTTTAAAAAACTTTTCTAAGATCTTGCCCGGGATAGAAGTCAGGCTGATGGGCCTATAGTTAGCCAGATCCACTTCCCTCCCTTTCTTGAAGATAGGCACCACACTGGCCTTCTTCCAGTCTTCCGGCACTACACCAGAGCGCCAGGAGTTCTCGAAGAACTGTGCCAGGTGCTGAGCTATGATGCTCCCCAGCTCCTTGAGTACCCTGGGGTGTAGATTGTCAGGGCTGGCTGACTTGAAGGTATCTAGCCTCTCGAGGTGTTTCTTCACAAGATCAGCATTAATGGAGGGCAGGGGATCTCCCTCACTCGGACCTCCCTGTCTTGTAGCGGGCATGGGCAACCCATGGGACTGATGAAAGATCAACACAAAGTACCCATTTGATAGGCTGGCCTTTTCCTGGGTGTCAGTTGCCCCATCTGGTTCAGCAGCGGTCCAATATTCCCCTTGCTTTTCCTCTGGCTCCCGACATATCTGAAAAAGGACTTTTTATTGTCCTTGATGCTCAAAGCTAGTTGGAGTTCGGTTTCAGCCTTGGCTTTCCTGGTTTGCTCCCTGCACGACCGGACGAGTGCAGAATAATCCTCCTTGGAGGTGAATCCCATCCTCCATCCTTTGTAGGCCTTTCTTTTTAGCCTCAGGAGGTCTGCTAGGTCCCTGGAGAGCCAGGGGGGCTGCTGTGCCCTCTTGCTGCCTTTCCTCCAAGATGGGTTAAACATTGCTTGTGCTTTCAGGATCGCTCCCTTGAGAAGTAATCACTCATCCTGACCTCCCCTCCACTTCGGGTCATGGTCCCTTAGGACCTTGCCAAGAAGCCTCCTGAGCTTGTCAAGTCGGCTTTCCTGAAGTCAAGGACTTCCGTGTTGCTGACTGACTTGCCAGCTTTATGGTGGATGATGAAGGTGATCAGCTCGTGGTCACTGTCACCCAGCTTCCCATCTATCGCTAGGTCACTGATTAGGTCATCCCCAGTAGCCAGTACCAGGTCAAGCAGCGCTTTGCCTCTCATTGACCCATAGACTTCTTGAGTCAGGTAGAGGTCATCCACGCATGAGAGGAAGCTTTGTGACCACTTGGATTTTGCTGAGTGATCTTCCCATGAGATGTCCGGGTAATTGAAGTCACCTGTGACAACCATGGTCCTGGAGCATGTGGCCTCAGCCAGTTCCTGGGTGAATTCCTGGTCAAGCTCAGGCCTTTGGGTGGGAGTTCTGTAGTAGACTCCCACCATTGTGTCCCCTGTGCCATGTTCCCCCTGGATTTTAACCCAGAGGGTCTCCAGTCGTCCACCCTGCTCCTCCTGCTTATTCCCCAAGCTCCTGGCATTTGTGTACATGCAGACAAGTGTCCCCTTGGGGGCTCTTGCCTTGCCCACAGATTGATCCAGGGCTGGGGCGGGGGTGGGCTCTCTTAAGTGCCTTGGTCTGCTGACTTTGCAAGGGTTGCTCAGCGGCCAGCAGTGATGGTAGTGTCCCCCCCCCAGTCTCCCAACCGGCTTAGTTTAAAGCCCGGTGGAGCAGGTCAGCCAGTCTGGCTGAGAAGAGCCTCCTCCCCAGGGGAGAGAGGTAGAGGCCATCTCTTCCCAGCAGCTTGCTGCCTCTCTAGCCAAACAGCAGGCTGTGGTCACGGAAGCCAAAGCCTTCCCAATGGCACCAGTGCTACAGTCTTTAGTTAACTACCTGGATCCTCCTCTCCCTCCTCAGCCCATAGCCTGAGACTGGGAGGATCAATGAGAACACCACCTGTGCCCCCAGACCCTTTAGTCCCGCTCCCAAATCCCTGTGGATCCCAAATCCACTCCCGCCTCATGACCCAGCTGGGAGTGCTCCGAGCCGTGTCACTGGTGCCCACATGAATAAGATGCATGGGATAGTGGTCTGTGGGCTTGAGGAGCTTAGGGATCCTCTCCGCAATGTCCCGGATGCGGGCCCCGGGGAAGCAGCAGACTTCCCGGGCTAAGGGGTCGGAGCAGCAGATCACCCGCTCCATCCTCAGGATGGAGTCTCCCACAAGAAACAACCTACATTTGGTCTTTGGGAGAGCAGGGACAGTAGCTGCAGTTGAGCCTGTGTTGCCTGTGGGAGCTGGCAACTCAGCAGGCTCTGCTGGAGCAGCAAGAAGTGCGTACCTATTGCTAAGCTCCGGCGGGGCAGGGGCCTTGGTGCGGTGGGCCTTAGGGCCCTTGACCACCTTGGTCCATGCCCCTGACTGGACAGAGCAGGAGTTCCCAGAGTCCTCCTTTGTCCTGGAGGGAGACTGTGGTCTACCCTCTGGCTCCCGGGGGAGAAGGGCCTGGCAGTAGGAGTCTATCTCCTGCTCACAGTCCCTGATGGCATGCAGTCTCTGGACTGTGGCCTGGAGCTCCTCCAGCCAGAGACCCCAAAAGGGAGCAGACCCCACAAGGGGAGGTGGCCATGCTCCTGGCCCCCAGAGCCTGAAAAAGGGACTGGCAGCCCCCGCAGCCGAGAGCCAAGGGCTCTGTCTGCGTGGAGCCCAGGACCACGGGCTTCGTCTGGGCGGCCATCTCTGAGGTGCCAGAGTGGGGGGCTGCAGAGCCCGAGGGGACCCTCAGGGTGCGACACGTGCCCATCCATGTCATGCCTCTTGTAGGCTGGCTACAGCTGGGACTGTCTACCCTGGGGGGTTCGCAGGCAGGGTCTCGGGCCCTCCCACGCACCCTCCTGTGCAAACTCCGCGCTAACTCACGCACCAGCAGATAAGCGCGCCTGTTTGCGCAGCCTGGTCATGTGGCTCCCTGGGAGGCTGGGCGAAGTAGGGGCCTGGGCGGGACAAGACCCAGCCCGGCTCCACTCAGCCGCCTCCTCCCACTCACTGAGGGGTTGACCCCCTCCCACCATGGGCCCCGCTTGCCTCCGGCTGTGCTGGGGGTCGGTGGGGGGGCTCCACGGCTGCTGGGGAGTCTCTGGGGGGCTTCAGGGGAGCAGCGGGCTTTCACCCACGCATCTCGCTACTCCGGAGCCTAACTGGGGCTTTTTTTGCTGTTGGCAGACCCTTTTAAACTGCATGCATGCGCAGCGGGCCTACTGTCCGGGAAGCTGCTCTCCAGCAAGGGGGGGGCCCTGCCTGGGATTTGGGGGGCCCTGCCCTACTGAAGGGGGACTGGTGAGTACCCCACCACCACTCTCTGTCCCTAGGGGGCTGGGCAGAGCTTGACCCGGCCCGGCTCCACTCAGCTGCCTCCTCCCACTCACTGAGAGGTTAACCACCTCCCACCACGGGCCCCACTTGCCTCCAGCTGTGCTGAGGGGGTCAGCAGGGGGCTCCGTGGCTGCTGGGGGGTCTCTGGGGGGGGGCTTCAGGGGAGCAGGGGCTCAGTGGGCTTTCACCCCCCTGCCCCTACCTTGTTAATAGAAGGCACTACTCACCAGTACCCTGGTAAAGAGCCTTGCCAAGGGAACACGGCGGTCACTGAGGCTCCACCACTGGAAAAAAACCCAGCGGTGGAGGATTAGCCTACCTGTGTGTGGTTTACAGATGGGAGCTCCAGTTTTGAAAATGGAAAGTGGTTTACTGGATACGGAGTGGTGAATTTAAATAATGATCAGATAGGGGGTCCCTTGCCAGCGGGGTTCTCAGCTCAAGCTGCTGAAGTATGAGCCCTGAGGGGACTCCTTGAACAGCATAATCCACCTGAAGGGAAATTGTGGATCTACACTGACTCTGACTTCTGTGCTAAGGCTCTGCTGTGCTGGATATATAATTGGAACAAAGCTAATTGGCATGCTGCTGATGGCAAAGAAATTGCACAAAAGGGTGACTGGCAGGCAGTTTGGAGATGGATTCAAAGGCATCCATCCTCACTATACATTCGACGTGTTAAAGGTCATCAAAAGGCCTCTACTTCAGAAGCCAAAATGAACCAATTAGCAGATGCTGCAGCAAAGAAAGGAGCACGGGGAGACATTGCCATGGTGCAAACCCGGTCCTCAAGCCACCAAAATTGGAAGATTCAGGAGGAGTATGCTGTTCATCAGGAAACTGGAGAAGTTAGATGGGTACCACACCTCCAGAGTAGAGAGAGGAAATCTTAACCGTTTGTCACAGCCTCAGGCATGAGGCATCTGAAGCCACAACAGCTAGGGTGCAGGAAATTGCCTAATGGCCAGGGATGTCCAAAGATGTGAAGGAGTGGGTGCAGAATTGCTTGCTCTGTGCAGGGGAGGGAACAAAACAGAGAGAGAGTGCGCACGTGCGTGCGCCCCCCGAGGCTTATGATTTGACTTCATTACAGTGTTTCAATCTGCCTAATAAACCAGAATATTAAGGATCCCGAGTTGGACATTTGTAGCCAACACTGGAATGCTGGAAGAGGGCCAGTGTGATGCCAATATTTAAGAAAGGGAGGAGGGAGGATCCAGGAAACTATAGGCCAGCCAGTTTGACCTCAATACCAGGTAAAATTTTGGAAAGAATTATCAAGAAGTCCATTTGTGAGAGACTGGCAAAAGGCATGATACTGAAGGATAACCAACATGGTTTCATTGTCAGCAGGTCATGTCTGACCAACCTCACCTCCTTTTCTGATCAAGTAATGAACAACTTAGATGTGGGAGATGCAGTTGATGTCATATACCTGGATTTTAAAAAGGCCCCCTCATAATGCTCTTATAAAAAAAGCTGAGGGATTGTGGGCTGGTAGAGTCCATAGTTAGGTGGGTTGGGAACTGGCTAAGGGGTTGAACCCAGAGAGTGTTAGTCAATGGATCTTTATCATCTTGACAGGAGGTGGCTAGTGGTGTCCCGAGGAGTTCAACATTTTTACCAACAACTTAAATGAGGGTGTGGAAAGCATGCTGGTCAAGTTTGTGGATGATACTAAGTTATGGGGAAAAGCAGTCACCCTAGGGGATAGGATGTGGATTGAAGTGGACCTGGACAAGCTGGAAAGGTAGGCAGAGTGAAACTAGATGCAGTTCAGTAAGGAGAAATGCAGAATGCTTCATTTAGGGAGAAGTGACTAGCAACATGAATATAGGTTAGATGATGTCCCAGCCAGCACAGTGACTAAAAGGGACCTTGGAGTTATGGTCAGTCACAGGATGAGCATAAGCCACCAGTCCAACACTATAGTCAACAGAGGTAATAACATACTGGGATGCATTAGCCGATGCATTGAGAGCTGGGCTAAGGAAGTGATATTTCTTCTCTACTTGGCACTGGTGAGACCCCAGCTGGAGTACTGGGGCTTTTTTTGCTGTTAGCGGGCCCTTTTAAACTGTGCATGTGTGCAGTGGGCCTGCTGTCAGGGAAGCTGCTCTTGGGTGGGGGGGAGGATGTTCTGGGTGCTGCACTTCAAAAGAGACATGGAGAATCCTGAAAGGGTCCAGAGAAAGGCCACAAAAAATGATTAAGGGTCTGGAGGACAAACCTTATGAGGAAAGAGTAAGGGATCTGGGACTGTTCAGCCTGGGGAAGAGAAGACTGAGGGGGACTTGATGGCCATCTATAAGTATGTAAGGGGTGAACATCTGGAAGAATTCTGGGAGAAAAACTGTTTACTAGGGTGCACCAGGGGAGGACAAGGAACAATAGCCATAAACTGTTAGAACAGCGGTTCCCAACCCCAGGTCACAACCCAAATGCGGGTTGTGGGGGCAATGCCAGTGGTGCAGCACACAAAACATGAGCCACACTGCATGCCAGGAGTTACCCCATCCCCAGGCCACCTCCACCACACTCTGCTTCCAGAAGCAGGTCACAGACAAAAAAGGTTGGGAACCATTGTGTTAAAGAATGGTTTCAGGTTGGATGCAAGAAGGAAAAACATCTTTACAGTAAGGATAACAAGAATCTGGAATAGACTTCCCAAGGAGGTGGTACAGTCCCCAGTCTTGGAAGTCTTCAGGAGGAAACTGGACAGACACCTTGCTGGGATCATTTGATCTCAGCAGTATTCCTGTCCAGAGCAGGGAGGTTGGACTCAGTGAACTTTTGAGGTCCCTTCCAACCCTTAATTTCTATGATTCTATGAAGTGCCTCAGAGTGCAGTAAGGAAATCTTTAGCTTCTTTTTTTTGAAGAAAATAAGGAGAGTTATATGGCTATGTCTATGAAAAGGAATTTTACAAAAAAAAATTCCCCTGATGCAACCACTCATTCAGGTGTACTGGTACAAATGCTGATGAGAGTTCTAGAGTCAATAAATAATGTTTCCAGTACTTTTCAGAAACTTTGACTTGGTATTAAAAAGCCTAGATACTACCACAGGCTTGTCTGTATAAAGACTCAGCTTTGCCAAAGGTGTCAGTATTCCTAGTATAGGAATAGTCATAAACCACTAGAAAATGGTGATATCTGAGACTAGAAACTCATATGATATCTGAGATGGTGTAGGACAGTTCAGATTTCATATGTAAAATGAAATGAGTACATTGAGGGTGCATCAAGATATTGAAAACACATTGCTTCCACCCCCTGTCCCCTCTGCTGGTTTCTTCTTTGTTTCTAATGCCATGTTACTAGTGTTCAGAACCATCAGGACCTAGTTACCACAGGGAACACTTTGCCAACCACAGCTCACCAAGTTGGTTGCACTCCTCTGCAACAATCCAGCTTAAAAATCAGGACGATGTATATAAATGCCAGACCTCAGGTTCTCTCAGTCAGAAAAATTTTGTGGAACAAGCTACTAACAGAAATTAGATTAAGCCAAATTCTAATCAAATTTAGATCCACCAATGTGACAGAAATTTTGTCATGGCCAGAAAACAGACACCATAATGGGCGTCTTAAAAAAAAAAAAAGAAAGAGGAAGAAACAGCTGAGTTGGTTAGGACTTCAGAAAGGCAGTGTGAGAGCCTGTACCCAGTGTACTATGGAGATGCAGTGCATTTAGCCCTTGGACATTACAGCTATGAGTGCATGAAGGAGGCACAGCAAAGCAGCCAGTCACCCAGGGCAGCAGGACACATGGGAGCAGCAGCAGCAGCTTCTAGCTTTTGCTATGCCACCAGCACAATCGCATAGCCGCAGCAGCCATTGGTATTTTTCCACTGCCTCAGTTGCCCAACCCTAGTTAAGCTAAGTATCCCTATGGCTGCTCATACCTTGAAGTGTCCCTACTTGTCTAGACTTTGCAGATGCTTCAGTAGAAGGGGGAAAAAAAGGAGTGTTTGTCATACCCAAGCTGCACTACTGCAATATACTCTACCTAAGAAAACCTTTGAAGGACCTCCAGAGGTTGCTCCTAATATATGACTGACTGGTGTTTTAGTGATTTCAACTGATAGTACTTTTCTTTCACCTTTATCGCCACATCTAGACAAGCGCAGACATGCAGTATGTGGTGCCACAGACGTATCTACAGTGCCACATACTGCACGTTCAGTTGTTCTCCATGCTGCAAGGAAGCAGAGCAGAGGGAAGTGGGTTGACTTTGGGATATCTAGGGGTCAAAAAAAATCCACAGGAAAAATAAAAGCAGAACAGAACACACAGGGGCAGTGCACACCACTCAAAACCAGAGTGTGGCCAGATGAAGCCATGCTGCAGCTACCGGCCAGGCTCTGAGCAGCAGGATCGCCACTGCTGCAGCCCCAGGAGGCCCCCAGGTAAGTGCTAGTCTCAGCCTCCCCTACCCCACCCAGGACATCCTGTCATATGCCAGAGGGCACGTAGCATGGGTATTCCCTGGGGACAACTAGCAGTGGCACAAGGTCCACTGCTTTTACTTGTCCCCAGGGAACCAAACATCCACACACATGTGGACATGGCCCATGAGCCAGAGGTCCACATACCAAAATTAAAACGTGAAATTGTGCTTTTAGGAGGAAAAGATTTTTTTACTTTGGCAGAATGACTTTTCACCCAGATTGTGTACATCAAAAATAGTGTTGAAAGGGAGACACTAAATCCCATAATACAGAAGAGGAAGTCCTAATCGTGTGTGTAGAAGAGGAACTGTCTCTCTTTTTCTACAAAGCCAAGCAAGTGTTGTCCTTCTATTTAAGTTCTAATTTTCCGCTGCTTTTGCATTTGTTTTTTGATTCTGCTTTAAAAAAGTGCTGTCTAGAATATCACAAGTGTACATATTTGAGGGTTAGGAACTGTGTGTTTAATACTGAGAAATCACATTATTTTACCTATAGTTTTCACTTGAATATTAAATGTGACAGGCTGTCTCAGCTTGAATTGTACTGGAATTGTTTCATGTAACCCTATACTGGGATAAATGCATAAATTTGGTACCATCTAACTCTCGTAAATTTGGGCAGGCTGGTTTAAATAGCCTCAGAGCTCAAGGCTCAGTTTTAGCTTCAACTTGGTAGAGAACATTTCCTATATCAACACTCTGGCTAGAAAATAGCAAATGGCACTGAAACTCATTATGCCCATTACTTTTGAAGTCAATCATTATTCCAGACAGACTGCTTCTTTCCTAGATTATTAGGAAAATATAATAAGGAACCATCAGTCTATTTGTTACAGTTTAAGCAAACAGATTACTAAATAAATTTGAAAGTAATCTTTTTTATTCTGATGTTGTGTTTGTATGCCTTTTAGGTGTAGTAATTTTTGATACAAATGTAATACAATTATATTTAATCTGTGTGGTGTGGATGTTACTTCCCCAGACACTGTGGGGTTGTAGCTCTGAGGAGTCTGGGAATAAAAAAGAAGAGAAACATAGTTTGACATGTTATGATAAAGTGAGCTCCAGCTCACAAAAGCTTGTGCCACATACACACACACACACACACTTTGGTTAGTCTATAACAGGCAAATCTACCCTGTCTTCCAGTAAAGAGAAGAGACAGATCTGTGATGAACTTTGCAGGGGTCCCTGGAACTGCCCCATAGCCTTTCTGCCCAGTGCCTAGCCAGTAACAGTTTTGAAGGAAAATTGACTTATGTATTGCACACTTCTTCTTGTGAGCAACATGATGTCCCGAGTCTTTAAAGGACACTTCTGAAAGACTAAAAGCTGACCAGTTCCTGGTAATACATCTATACTCCTCACACCAACAAGCCCAGATTCAGTAAATTATACAATATACAGTCTGGGGATGACAAGTGTGAAGATCACTGGCAAGAACTATGTCCAAAAGGAACTTTGTCCAAGATGAAGATGGGAAAAGACCAAATGTCAAAAGAATAGTCTGTCCAAAGCTTGAGGCTCAGTGCTACTTTGACCACTAAAGGAAAGAACAGTGCCTTGATGAGCTCCTCAAAACATTTTTCCCTTTTCACCAGCTATCATGTTTATCGTGCCTGGATTCACATGGAACCATCTGTTCTTCTTTCATTCCTGATCTTTTGCTGGTATTATCAGACCTACTCAGTGTACGAATTGCTCCATGCTGTCAGATCAAAAGCCCAGAATGTCTATTGCATTTCTTGTTTACCATTTCTACAGGCATTTTTCCACTCATTCATAGCATACTGCAGAGGGAGCTATTCCCCAGTGTAAAAGAATGACTAGCTACAGACTGTAGCATAAGACTGATGTTGTAGCCATGGTGGTCCAAAAATTATGTGAGGCAAGGATTTCTTAGGGTGATATCTTTTATTGGACTAACTATGTAGTTGGAATATAGTCAGACAAGCTTTGAAATGAAGGATATTCTTTTTCCAGGTGTCTGATCACAAGCCAGTCACAGCATAGTGAAAAACAGCAAGGGGTGGGGGGGAAAGGGGAGGTTGAGAGAAATTCTAAGGGGTAACAGATGCATACATCAGCAGCAGAAAAAAGCCAGGTACTAGGAGATCAAGGCCTATCAAAAGGGAGGATGGCTATTTTCACTCTTCCTGTGTGGAAAGAATTCAGGAGTTGGGTAAAATATAATGCACCATAAACC